ACACACACATAGTTCACTACGAAGAACAACAAAACAACCAACCTGTATATATATGTTGGCCTGAAGGATCGTCATCTATATATAGATGGCAGATCCTGACACCTTCCTCCCCACAAAAGTTAAATAAATATGTCCATTGGTAATAATTGATTGAAGTAATCCTTGAAATCTTGTGATGTTAATCCCATATAAAGTGTTGATTGAACTATATTAACATTGATATATGGTACAGCATAAGAACGTAAAATTTTCTTAACGTTGGTGATGGTGGTATTAACTGGACGTGTAATTTCAAAGGTATATCGATTTTTTCGATGTCGTATACTTGATTTTTGATTTCTTCTTTTTCGTGCAGATTCAGATCTTGTTGATTTTGATTTTGTTTTATTTAAAGAACTAGAAATAACATCAAAATTATTTGTTTGAACATGATAATTCATTTCAAATTCTTGATGATGATTCATTTGATGATAATAATTAGATTCTTCAGATGAATTAATATCTATATAATATTCATAATTATTTGATTGTGGATCAATTGTTAAACATTGATCATTCGATATATAACAATTAATTTCTTGTCGAATTTGATCAATTTGTTCACTTGGTTGAGGTTCAACTGGATGTAAAAATATATTCAAATATTGTTCATCTGTTTGAGCTTCAGATGAAATCTGATGACGTTCATTTAATTCATGACCGGTCATAGATTCATCGCTTTCATCGTCAAACAACATTTCATACATTTGACTATTGTTAACTAAATGAAAGGAAGAAGGAGAAGGACTAAATTTTGTAGTTAAATAAAAAAAATACTCTCCTAATGATTGGATATGTAAATCATTATCATGAAGAACAGATAAATGATTTTCGTGCATAAATAATATTATTTCCATTAATGATAGACAATCATATGACGCATATTGAATAAGACGTTTTCGATAATTTAATGAATAATTCTTATTACGTGATGATAATCGTTTATCTAAACCAATAGACCATGATCTTAATGTATCTCGTTTTGATAAATATTTATAAAAAAGATAAGCAATTGCGTCTTGAAGACTCCATAATTGATTATTCATAACTTTAAGACGATTCATCATTTCTGGTGGTAAAAATAATTCTGGATCTAATGCAGGTGCATGAATAATAATTGAATCATCATAATTAATTGTATTATCTTTGTCATCAGATTTGATATGAATACATTCATCGAACCATCTTGTAAATAACCGTTGAACATCAAAAATTCGTGAAGGAATAGATAAAGAATATAATTGATAAATTTCAAATCGAGTTAATTCATCTTTTAATGATCCCCATGAATATAAGTTTGTTCCACTACGGAATAAATGATAAAATAAATTCTGAATTTCAGGAAAACGAGATGATGATATATCAGGTAAATGAGTTGTTTCAATTAATAAAATTACAGAATGTTCTGAGTGTTGTTGTACCAATAAAATTTGAATAAGTGCAGGAACATGATAATGAATATCAGACTCTGTATCAAATATAAAATCAGTTGTACATTTTATAACATTGCATAATATTTTTAATTCTTCTTCAGTTGTTAATGAATTAATAAAATGAATAACATATGGTTTACACGGGTGATATGGAGGGAAAAGTTGTTCATAACGACGTTCTTTTTCATCTTTTTTAATACTACGATCAGCAGCAGATGAATTTTCTGAAATAAGTTGGATATTTGATGACGACAACTTGACCATGACAATCAGCTGAATATAACTAAAGAAGAAAAAAAAAGGGAAGGAAAACAAAGGAAAAAAAAATAAAACTTAATAACAAAGTTAAATAAATAAATAAAACTCCATAAACCTATATATAACCAAAACATAATAAAATGAAATAGAGGAAAAGTAAAACCAATCGTTACGTAATAATAAATAGTACATGGAAATATATAGATATACATATGTAGATGACGTAACATGTTGTAAGGACTTGCTATAAATGAAATCTATCACAATTAATCGAGCGTAATTGTGATACATGTACTTGATAAATTCGTTGATCATCTAAATCTTGAATTAAATAAGTTGGATGAGATTGTTTGATAACCTTCATAGGATTTGAGTATATTGCAGCTAATTTTGAACGATTAGTTGAGATTCGTTTTAATACAATATCATCAATTGAATAATGAACATCTGGACGATTATGATCAAAATATTTCTTATAATTTTTCTGCTGTTGTTTGATGTTCATGATCGCATATTGATGATAAATATTTAATGTTTGTTTGAAGTAATGAAAATAATCATTTGGTTTCAAAAATTCGTAAGATCTTCTTGGAATATCAGGTGGTAATGTAGGAGTTCGACCGAATTGTAATTGATATGGTGATAATTTTGTTGTTGCATGTTGTCCTGTATTATATGCAAATGTAATTGATTTGAGGTGAATATCCCAATCATTAATTNGACAACTTTAAATCATTCTTCACTGATATTTATTTTCTGTCAAACAAATGTTTACATTGCTCAATACTATGAATAAGAAATTGCTCATTTAGTATGCTGTGCAAACACAACCTGTTCAAAGCTATAGTCGAACCAAAATACCATTATTTTAGTATCAAAATGATCAAATACTGATATTTTTTCGTTCTATATATCAATGAATAAGAGTAGACTTTGAAAATCAAAAGGGGCCAAAACACGATTAAATATGCTCTCGTCCTTTTCGCAAGTTTTTTTCATATGCAATAGGAAGTCTATAACCTGAGAAAAAGTCTTGAATCCAAATCAGTCAATATAAAGAGCAAAAATGAAACAGAATAATGTACCCCCCCCCCCCTATATTAGAAGATCCCCTCAAGAAAAAGTTCACCGCACATAATAGAGGACCCCTTTCAGTTAATTAATGTTTTGCTAATTAGAAACTTGAATTGGTGTATTTATGTCAAAACATGCCCGGTTTTCAGGATTTTGAGCAGAAAAACTTGAGAGAGTAAGTTCAAAACTATGTCTAGGCTCTTAAACTGCTGAAAAACTCTGCTAGGAATCTTAAAAATCGCCTCGGTTTTCTGAAAAATCTTTTTGGTTAAAAATTGAGAAAAAATATGGAATATAATGCAAGATTTCCCTGGAAAATTTGTATGCTCGAACATAATAGAAGATCCGACTCTTCTATTGCGAGGGTTGGAGGTTAGTTTCGATCGATGTCTCACACAATGCAAGAAACTGCAATTTATGTCTAACAAATCAATTCTGAAATGCACTTTCCATTAAATCTCATGAAAAATTATTAACATTGGAATATCCTAATTCCACTTGCATGCATCCTAATGATGAATAATACTGCTAAAATTAGCATCTTCACTTGCAGCAAACTTTTTTGAACTTCAAAGTCTTTGAATTTTTCATAATTTTGAACAAAAACATCATAGGATAACGTGAAAAAGTTAGCACTTTTCTACGGTTACGATCAAATTAAACCCACAGTCCAATCTTCTCAAGATTTGCTCCCGCGATTCTTGTTGTTCTTCAGAAGTTTCCGCTGGTATCTCGAATCATCTCTATTTCTAGATCTTATAAGTTCAACTTGCATGTAATTTCATCATTTGTGGTAAATTTCCAATGGATTTTCTGAAAAATCTATATTCTACTGGAATTGCTTCTTAACCGAAACACTGTTAGCGATTGAAAACAATCCTATATTTGCTATTTATCATCTCTAAAACTGGGGATTAAAGCGTCCAACTTAAGGACACCTACAGATCCGTAGAGATCGGTATTTCACCGATTTACTATTGTGAAAGTTCACTCTTTAGCTCATTTTTGTTCAGAAAAAATAAAGACTTTACATCTTTTGTGAAACACGATCTGAAAGGAGTGTTAAAGTGTATGGAGTAGAAATTTGGGCTCATCCCTGCACTTCCCTCTGCCATGGACTGTGACAAATAAAGCCCAAACCCATCATTGACCGTGACAGAGAGGCTCCAGGAGCCGTCACAAACCGTAATAGGCAGTTTCAAGGAAATACCGAACATCATATACTAGACATGAGAGGAAACAATCATTTTTGGTCCGGGTCCGGGTCCCGACGAAAAAAAACGTTGGTCCTGGTCCCGGTCCCAGCCCTGATCCCGGCGAGACAAGGACTGACACCATGTTGCACATATCTAACAAAACCACATATAAATAGATCCTAAAACTGTTTTAGATATATTTGAAAAAAGATGAAACATAAAGACATAAAAAAAGCCGTAAACTGTAACGGGTTGGATATAATGAATGGTGACGCTTTGCATCTAATGTTTTCGTCACTTCGCCCTATTTAAAATAAAAACCCATACTAAGAGATGAACCATGAAAAGCTCTATAATTTACATAAGACTGCTTATTTTACAGTTGCACTTTTTGTTTTCAAAATGATTAAAACTTTGAGCGATAAAATTTCGACTGTGCGAATATATTTTTTAGGACCAGATGGCTTCGTTTTTTCGTGTTTCCTCCTTTTATAATCTACTCTTTGTAAATTGTAGAGGTTTTCATGCTGCATCTTTTGACATATATTTGTTTTTAATGAAACATATTAAATAATAAGTAGATGAAAGAAGAAAAAACGACTTCACCTGGTACCAAAAAAAAAATACTATTTTCACAAGGTCGAAATTTGATTGCTCAAAACTTTATCCACTTTGAAAACAAAAAGTGCAACTATAAAATAAGCAGCCTTATATAAATTGTAGAGGTTTTCATGGTGCATCTCTTAGTATGTTCTGATTTTAAATAGGACGAAGTGATGGAAACATCAGGTGCAAAGCGTCACCATTCATTATGTCCAACCCGTTACTTTTTACAGCTATTTGTATGTCTTTATTCTTCACCTTTTTTCAAATATATCTAAAAAAAATTTTAGAATCTAGTTAGATACGGTTTTGTAGAGAATTTCAATCGCTATCTTTTGATAAAAAAAAGTGTTTTAATCAATCGGATAATTGAGGAGAAATCTTAAAAATACTAAGAGAGCAATTATTTATGGTATATCCGTTATTTTCTTCAGGCATGTATAAAAGATAAACATTTTTATTACAGGTTGTAGAGTCTATTTGCTGCATCTTATGGTATGTTCTGTTTTTCAATAAAATGTACCAGATAGTCAAAGATAAAAAGCAAATATCAACTATTCATTATGGAAAGCTCGTTATATCAGAGACGAAAAACTCTTGTTACCGAATCTTCAAAAAAGAGAACACCAGAAACAAAAGATGCATCCAGAGAGAGGAGATGACAAACTATTGAAATCTGCAAGGATGGATATTCTTGATAGTTGACTGCATACCATATCGTCTAGACACCCATAAAATATTTGAATAGAACAATTGAGACACCAACTATCTTATACTATCAAAGACTATCTCTCTGGTAGAGTATCATGCGTCTTATTTTTCCTAAAGAATTATGACTGGCAAAACAGTCATCAGACATTCCAGCTCCTCGTTAAATAGCAAAGTCATGTCTGAATGTTTCGCTTTTTGTTTCTCCATATTTTTATCATTATTTCTAAATTTTAAGCATCTTTTTTATTTCAAATAAAATGGCCTACCTAAAAGTTGCGCACAACACATGAGATTCAATACCAATAAAAAATATGATCAATTGTGATTATGCGCATAACTAATGAGAGAAAGGAAGAATGTGCAGGTATTGAAGGTAAACTGTCATCCTGAATAAAATAGTTATCCATTGAAGTATGACTTCGCTTGTCTGCAAGGCACCCCCATGATGTTTTTTAAAACAATATTGTGCATACAAACATTAGATTAAGCATGAACAAAAAATATGATCAATTTTGATTATGCACAGAACTAATGAGATAAAGAAAGGATGCGTGATTATCAAAGATAATGACAGAAAGAATGTACAGGTATTGAAGATAAGCTGTCATCCTGAATTAAATAGTTATCGATTGAAGTATGACTTCGTTTGTTTGCAAGGCAGCCCCGTGATGTTTTTCAAAACAATATTGCGCATACAAAAAATAAAATATACGTTATTCAAAACTTTGTCAGTTTCATTGAGCAGTAAAAATGAAGCCGATGTCTGACGGAGAAAAAAATATAAATCAATAATAAGTCATCTGTATTAAGCTGAATTTAAAAGGACTTGAGTCATTGCACGTAACCCACCATCTAATGCACTATAAGGTGCTCAATTGTTCATTTTCAATTTCGTTGATTTTGACATATATGATAGAAGCAACTATTTCATGATATTTGCAACAAATCGCATGAAATAATTTTCAAGCATACATTTTTTATTGAATCTTTATGAAAAGTCGTAAAATCTAACGATCATGAAAAGCTCGTTCAATGCCGTGATTAAATCTTGAGCACGGCTGAAAGGATTGAACCGAAACTTTGTATGGGTATTCATAGTTGGTGATCCTACCATCAGGAACACTTTAAGTAGAATGATTGTGTCGTTGGTTTTCTGAAGATACCACTTGAGGACGACACAATGCGTATTGTAGATATCCTTGGGGTTCTGTATCTGACCGGTAGTACACGATGGCGATTTCACATTTTGTTATGCAAAAGATCTCAATGATATTTCATTCCATTAAAAGGCTCAGCTTTTCCCAGTGAAACATTTGCCGGTGGTATCCTCGTCAAAATCGGTCTTTGTTGAAAATAGCGATTTCTGATCGTCGCGATCTCAAAAAATATGAGATGACTGACGAGCGAAACACTTCGTTTGCAAGGACTATCTTTGATCTACCACTTGGCTTACCCTCCACAGAATAAATGGCCATGATCTTCTATTATGGAAATTCACATTGCTTATGTAAAAGTGGCCTTCTATTGTGGGCTATTTTTTTGCTAGGATTTACCTAGAAAACCAAGGCTTTTTGAATTTCTTTTTAATTTGACAAGTTAACACGAATTTGTTATTTTAACGTATAATAATAAATGAGAGTCATAATGGACAAAATGAACAATAATATAATATTTTTTTTTTCTTATCATTTTTCTTATTTATAATAAAATAGAAGAATAGTAAGAAAAGAAAAGAGAGAGAAGAGAAGTAATAATAAGAAGAAAAAATAAAAAAATGGATGAATAACGCTAAACCTGTCGAATTGATCAATATCAAGCGATTTTCGTTAATAAAGTGAATTATATATCATGGATTATATATGGTGTTGAGAAACAAATGAATCATTATGCAGAAAATCTGCCGAATATAGTGAAGAATGAGTGTCTGTAATTAGTTTGGTATACATATAATCATCTTTTTTATGATGTATATAATGGGCAGGGCTGCTATTTCTTATTTTTCAAATGGGGTTTATGGAAGTCCAGATGGGATATATTCCTTTTTAAAACGGAGTACATCACCAGGGTACATTATTTTCTTCCTGAAATAGCAGATTTAATGAAGAAAACCGATGAAATAAAACTTCTTTTGCAGAAAACAACACAATATTTCACTATTTTTATAATTGAATTAGCTTTATTGTTCGTTTTCTCTCAAAAAGCATTATATCAGTTAATTCATTAGTTCAAAATTGAAAACAATATAATTAATAAAAAAAAATAAAAAATTTTACATTAGTA